GGCTTTGCCTACATCCCCCCGCGCGTATTATATATTTTCTACATACTACGAGGTGTATTATTTATACACAAACGCCGTTTATAAATACAGTCCGCGCGATCGTGTATGATTCGTAGTAAACGTTTGACCCAAAAAATGATCGTTTAAAATGTTTTGAAATTCCTCGCCATTAATGGGCTCGTTAATACAGAGATTTTTCTGTTACGATTGTATTAAAAATATTGAGTACATTTTGAATAACGCGAATAAGGAAGATTCACTTGATTTCAAAAAAATGCATACGAGTTTTCAACCACTTCAAATATATACGATGAGACCATTTTGAGTCTTCCTCGCTAGATGGCGAGTATTTCTTCATCTGTAAATCTGCAAGTGTTAGAGTAAAGATAAATGTATTTGTCAAGGAAATATTTCAAATTTAGATAATGTTATACAAAGCTAAATTTGAAATATTTCCTTGACAAATATTTGTTCTATTAAAATTGAGTAGAAAAATCGTAAATGACCTGAAAATGATTATTTAGCCTTTTCAAAAAATTTAGATCACTTTTCTATTACTTTCGATGCAATAATACCGCCTCGAGCTTTCACCACTAGATGGCGAGTACCTTTATTTTTGCGAATCTGCAAGTGGCCAATTCAAAATGATTGTACAAGTAAACGAGAGATAAACAATAAGAAAAACTTTGTGATTATAATATACACACATACCGACAAGATTCAGTCAAATGAAAAAAAAGGGAGAAAGAGAAGCGTAGATATAAAGGTCAGTCTTTTGTCGCTGCTGCATATGTATACTCTGTTACGCCATGCGTGACACGCGCGAGTGTTGTGTGTATGTGTGTTTGTGCAGCTACATACACGCCGAGAGTCAAAACACGAAATGAAAAGGTCTCTCTTGCTCTCCCTCTTGGACGAACGAGAAAGAAAGAGAGAGAGGGCGAGCGCGCGATAAGGTCATGTACAAGAAGGGACGGAAGGAAATCGCCTTCGGTGCAACTCTCTTGATCTTAAGAATTCTCTCTCTCACTCTCTCCCTTCTTCGCCCGGTTATATTTTGTGTGTGTATGTAATATAGGCATGTACAAACATATATGTACAGCAGCAGAAGCATCATAGCTGCTGCACAATAGGACCCAAGAGCGATGTACAAAGTGTATACATGCATACACAGCAGAAGAATTCGAAAAATCGCGTGACTCCGCGTCGTCGCGCACGCGGAGTAAAAATTTTTATACCTCCTCTTTTTTTCCCTTCCCAAAGTATTTTGCCCGAGTATCGTTTCTTTTATATTTCTCGCCTCGCATTACGCACGCACTAGCGTAATTTTTTGCGAGGAAATTCTTTGTAATCCGCTATACACTGCTATGTATCCACTTCAACGCGATGAAAACGATCGGAGGGTCGCTGCGGAGCTCGGTGCGTAATTGCGCCGCGCGCGAGTAATCCATTCATACGAATATAAATTTGCACCGAAAGAAAAAAAAAAAAAGAAATACATATAAAGATTCAATCCGAGGGATATCGGGTGTTCGGTTTCGGGATTACAGGAGGAGAGGCTGAATTCCGTGCGTTTACCCTCGGAATCCGGACGCTACTTTCCACACGTACGTACGGGCCGCGCGAGATTTACGCGAGGATTTCGGGCGCGCGCACGCGCGGATCAAAAAACGATTAGTTCGCCATTCGGCGCGCGGAGTGAGAGAGAGAGTTACAAGGGATACGCTCGCGAGGACAATCATAATTTTTACCTTCCAAAAATATCACCGATAAAAGAGAGTGAGAGAATTCGACTTTAGATGTATATCGATATAACGCGAGAGGAGAAAACGAGAAAAGTGAATATAACCAATGCGTATATGCAGCGAGAGAGAAGCTGGCTCGACATCGACAACCCGTCCTCGGGACAAATTGTCATGCCTGCACACGACGACGTATCACTGGACACCTCGCTGTTTTTGTTTTTCATTTTGCTTTTTTTTTTCAACGTTTTTTTATTCCGATAGAAAAAACACATAACAATGCGCGCGCGACGCGTCAACCGATCTTCGTCAAAATCTGTCGCTCGTACGTACACGCGTCGTGAAAAGAAAAAAAAAAGAAGGAGAAAGAAAGAAACGAGATTAGTCGATGTACGGAATTTAACCCGATGTCAATCCCTCCTTTCGACCGTTGTAACAACAAAACGGAAGAATCACGGAACGAGAAAAAAATTTAAGGCAACGAGGATTAAAAATCGAAAAAACGAAATTCAATTTAGCGATATTTGTCGGACAGCGTATGGGGGGATGCGCACCGAGAAAGCGTTCATAACGGGTGCACGCGACAATTTGATGCCACCACCGTGACTGCGGTTCCGCGTCCACGCGCTGGATTATATTCATCGCATACGTATTGTGCCTGCCAGTTTTCGTAATATATGCGCAGAGATTCGAGTGCAAAGCTTGCATAGCAGCCGGATCTCTTCGAGCGACGCGTATAAAAAAAAATTAATAATAATTTAAAATGATAATTTTACATTATAATATTCTTTTGAAATTACAAGAGGTAGACTAAAAAAACTAATGATTTTTATGTGAAACTGCATATTTACTCGGCCAATGCTTAAATTTTAAAGTACCCAATTCAAAATTCTGTTGTTATTTTATTAAATTAAATTACAATTCTCGCATTAAAAGTATCGCATTACACTTGAAAAATGCAAAACTTTAATTTTTTTTAAATAAAGCAAGCAATTGTTGAAAATTCTATAGGGGTTAACTCGTTTTTCAGGGACTCAGTAGTTCATGAGTTACCGCTAGATGGCGTATGGCTAAATTTTCCGAAACCAAAAGAGTAAAGGAAAGTTTCAGCATTAAATGTAGCGAGCGATTTTTGGGTGGCGAATCTGATGGATACGACTTGACCAATCTTGTTGCTACTTTTTGGCAGAAATTTTATTCCTAAGATGAACTAGCAGACTCATCTTCTACTTTAAATTCATCGCCATAAATGGTACTCAATGCTTGCGTTAAGTTACATCAGACATTTATCAATTATATTACTCCACCTTGAACTTTCTGTGTTCACCCTAAAAACAATACCATCCATGACACACACAGGGGAGCGAATTTTTTCAATAGATCTTCGTTGATACGGAGCATAACGCACGGTCATTGATAATTTAAAATTCTGGTATTTTGTTTTATTGAACGTGTTAATGTTAATCAGATAAAACAAAATCTGAAATGGGTGATATCGAATAATAAAAACACCATCTTTTCTGAAAAATAAATAATGAAAAGCAGCCCAGAACCCCACACTTATACACTGGGGGTAACAATTATAAATTTATTTTAAAAATCTTATCGTTAAAAAAACAATTTAACATATTGCAGTTATCCTTACACAGCTAAGTAGCTTGATTCTATTAATTTTCAAAATAATTTGTCCAAGTCTTTTTTAAAAAAGGGAAAATAAGTGGTCGTTATATTAAAATATCGGTCAAGCATTCCGAGAACCGAGGTTTCCATGCAAGCAAAAGAAAAAGATTAATTTTAAGATTAATTTTGCAAGAAATACTTCGTATGTTCACGCTATTGTGCAGTACGCAGTGTAATGCCCATGTGGCAGCCATTCATCAAGATCGACAGACTTGACAAAAATGTTTATTAATACAACGATTTGAGTAATGTTGACGTTAACTTATTTAATAATTTTTCAATCTTTTCATTAATATCGATTTTGATTTACAAACAAGTATAAATTAATATAGTGATAGACAGACTTCATGTTAAAAGTGAATTTTAATAACACACTTTTTATGAAAATGTTATCACCAATTAATATCTATCTTTATTTTTTTGAACTAGGTGGCTTTAGTTAATATGAAATATCACGGCAGAAGTTTTCAACGTTAATTATGAAAATTTCAAATGTTTGAAATAACCTGAAAATATGATGATTCAACCGTTTTAAAAAATTAAGATCAATTTCCAATTACTTGCAATACGATAGTACCACATTAAGCCACTAGATGGCAAGTACCCGTTGATCTGTAAATCTGCATGTGGCAAATTAAAAAGAAACTATATAAGTCAAAACGCATTAATGGATATATACAGTCTCTCTTTATTTTGATGCTTCTTCTTTTTTGTAGATCTAAATTCATCATCCTCGTATAAATTTATTTTATAATCTTTCCCTCTTATCGTTGTAAAAATATGAGTTAACGAGTTTTTACTTCTAACAATTACTGTACGCATTTTTCAATTAAAATATATTATCATAATCGTTACAATCCGTTACGCTCACACCATGCGATATTGTATTGTGGTTATAAAGTTGAAAGCTGGTACACAAATACTACGTGATATATTCAGGCTTGATCTTGAAATTAAGCCTGAAAATTGAAAAAATAAACTGGGTTACTGTAAAATCGGCCTCGTCGAAAGATTCGCTTGTCGATCTCCAAATCATTTCTACTACCTACGAATTTTCTTTCGTCTCAAGAAATAGTTAAGCATCCCCGTTTGCCCGTTGCCGGATAAAGATGAGTACATACGCACGTATATATAAAACGCACCTCGAGAGAGAGTAAAAGCATTCATTAGCGAGTCATAAGGAAAAACGCAGGAGGACGTGCGGCAAATTTTTTAATTCCACACTGTATACGTGAGCTGCGAGCCCCGCGTTCTCACACGTACTTGCCAAATGGGCGGGGAAGGGCCCCGCCACCGATGCTATATACGTATACGCACTTACACGTGCATACAGATTTAGATGAAAATTACACGTGCTGCCTGCTGCGCGAGTACGCGTCGTGTTCTAATTACCTCCTCAGCAGCAGCAGTAGTAGTCTCTCTGATCGCTCATTTTGCCTTCGTTCTTTATTCTTCTACCCTTTAATTTTTTTTTTCTCTCTCGTTGCCCTCCTCTTTATCTCGCCGAGGTAATCTTCCGTCGTTACGTTTATTATAAAAATTATACTCACTTCCTCTCTCTGTCTTTATGGTGTATAGATGCGTCGTCGTCGAACGAGGCGGTGCACTTGCAGCAGCGACTTCGTAGCCTCAGCACGGAGCTGGTGACGCTACGCAATAGGCTGCACGTGAGTCAGCCGCCTGCGTCGGGACAGCCCCAACAGCAACAACAACAACAGGTTGTCGCGACTGAAAAATCAGGTAATAACGCGCAGCACGAGGAAAAGGGAGCGGTGCAGCAGCAGCAGCAGGTATGCGCGCCGGCAGTGCCGCCCAGGACGAGTCTGAGTCATCATGCCGCTGCTGCGACGACGACGACTACCCTCGGCAACAATCATCCGAATCATCATCAGCAGCAGGCGTCCTCGTCGTCGTCCAACAACAACAACATCAATCACAGCAATACAGGAATGGCATCTTCCGGGCATCGTCATCCTCAACATCATCAGCAGCAACAACAGCAGCAAACTCAACGTAAGCCTTTCTCTATTTTTAAATAATTTTGTAAAATTTGAAATAAAAAAGTAATGTTATTTTTCTTGAATCGGTCAGAAATCGAAGCGGTGAAACGTCACTGCGGCGTGACAGCGCCCGTTTCCTGCGTCACAGCCCTCAGATCGTCGTCTCAGCAGTTCAGCGATGCTAAAAAACAGCAGCAGCAGCAGCAGCAACGAGAAAATCCTGCTGCTGCTGCTGCTGCTGGAGTTGCCAAGCAAGGCCCGGAGAACATCGCCAGCATCGAGGATCTCATACACTTGCCCGGCCCGTTGACGGAAGATGCGGTGCTCAAGTGTCTGCAGGCTCGTTTCTGCCTGCAGCGATATCACGTTAGTATATATATTAGTAAAATAATCAATTCGACGCGCAAAGATATTTCCTGTTTCCTGATTGATCGAGGAAAAAATATATTCGCGCATAAATACTCTGGAAGATAGTGTGTGTATAGTTCGAGTCCAATTTCACCAAATTTTTCGTCGGTTTCGGAACATGTAATATAACTAGAAGCAAATTTTATAGCATCATTTCGGACTGAGTGATAATTTGCAGTGAATTTTGTCACATAATAATAAAAGAGCAATGATTATTAATCCATGATGCCTATCATTTTGGCCTCATAAATACTTAAAAAAACAGATCAAAAGCAATACTGTTTAGGTCAATGCAAATTTGTAAGCTTGTAAAATGTATTTACTAAGTAAGTTACGAATTTAATATACTCATGTAATATCCTCTAATGAACAAGCAATAATAATCCTTAAAATAGTCACTCTACAATTAGTATGAACGTAATGTTTAAATCCATTCAAAATAAGCAGTGCTGTTTTTTCGGGAAAAAAGAAATTTATTTTTTTCAAACTTGTCATTGTTTTTGCAGACCAAGATAACAGAATAGATGAAGAAAACAAAATATCGTAATTAATAAAAATTATTAGTCTTGTTTGACAGTACACTAAATAGTACATCAGTGAGTCATCATTGAACATAAATTTAATATATATGTTAGGTTTTTATGCGCGAATTATGCGCCACGTCGATGTGAGCTTTAAGATTTCTTTTTTGTCTGAATGTCTTTCCGCATGTCCCGCATGAATGGGTTATAACATTATGCGACGATTTCACATGCTTATTGAGATAATTCTGATATTTAAATTTTTTTTCGCAGAAATCACATGCGCGGGTGATTCCATTGTGCTCCGCATCGATATGGGCTTTAAGACTTCTTTTCGCAGTAAATTTCTTTGTGCACATATCACATGGATGCGTAATTTTATGATGTATCGATTTGATGTGAGTTTTGAGATTACTTTTTTGTGAGAATGTCTTCCCACAAATGTCACACGCATAAGGGACACCATTATGCTCCGAATCGATGTGCTTTTTGAGATAATTATTGTTTGAGAATGTCTTTCGGCATTTATCACATGCATGCCTTATTTTATGATGCACCGAACAATGTGCTTTTTGAGATCGCCTTTACGTTTAAAAACATTTTCACAAATATTACATTCGTGACTGACACCATTATGCACCGTATCGATGTGTTTTTTGAGATGACTCTTCTGTGTGAATGTCTTTTGGCATGTATCACATGGATGCGTGATTTTATGATGTATCGATTCGACGTGGATTTTGAGATAATCTTTACGAGTAAATGTCTTTCCACAAATATCACATGCATGTGAAACACCATTATGCACCGAATCGATGTGTTTTTTGAGACTACTCTTGTCTGAGTAGGTCTTTTGGCATACATCGCACGCATGTGAAATACCATTATGCACCGATTCTATGTGATATTTGAGAGTACTCTTCTTTGAGAATGTCTTTTGGCATACATCGCACGCATGTGAAATACCATTATGCACCGAATCGATGTGAGTTTTGAGATTACTCTTGGATGAGAATGTCTTTTGACATATATCGCACGCATGTGAAATACCATTATGCACCGAATCGATGTGAGTTTTGAGATTACTCTTGGATGAGAATGTCTTTTGACATATATCGCATGGATGTCTGACTTCATTATGCACCGACTCGAAGTGGACGTTTAGATGACCTTTTTGTCTGAATGATTTTCCGCAAATATCACAATCATGGGTGATTTTATTATGCGTAGTATCATTATGAGTTTTGAGCCTATTTTCATTGTTCAGCTCTTTTGAAACAGTTTCTTGTTTATTTTGCTCGCTGAGTGCACATTCGAAATTCAAATCAGTTTCTTCTTCGCTTAAAATTTCTTTCTTCACTGTCCCGACACTTTCTAATTTAATTTTGCTTCCAGTTTCATACTCATCACTATTCGGCCATTGATTTGGAGAATGATCTTCAATTTTCGCAACCACCAATAAATTGGGCTTCATGTCTGTACATTCCATTTCGATTTCCAGATCGTCAAGTTCAATTTCATGATTTTCGTCATATTCATGAAGAAGCCCTTGGGTCTGAAAAAAAATAAAATTATTAGGAAAGTTTCATTAATGATTATCGATCATGATTATCAACACTTACTGAATTTTCTTGCCAAAACCTTTCGTATTTAATATTTTGAGTGAGTGGTGTCGTGTCAATTATTTTATAATCATTATCATTGAGAAGCTCATCACGAGGTTCGTCTTTTACTCTAAAATAGATTTAGTAAGATTAATTATTTTGCTATGAGAATTTCGTCGTATAATTTTTACAAAATAAAATTTACCTAACAGGACAGTTGAAGAAACTACTCGATTCCATCTTACTTCGATAAAAGTTCGTTGGCGAATGATGTTTCCGTAATAATATCAAACTAATTGAAAACTCATTCCATAATATTTACACAAATCTGGCTGTTAAATCTTCGGCACACACAATGTAAACAGAGCAATATCGAGTCATTACGTACCATTGAAAAAATTTACACAATTTCTGCAGGCTCGTTTCTGCCTGCAGCGATATCACGTTAGTATTATATTAGTAAAATAATCAATTTCACGCGCCAAAATATTTTCTGTTTCCTGATTGATCGAGGAAAAAATATATTCGCGCATAAATACTCTGGGCGATAGTGTATGTATAGCACCAGTCTCAATTTCACCAAAAAATTTGTCCGTACGGAATTTCGACCATAGTACAGGTTCCCTCTTGGGCTCTTTACCTCTTATACATATACCGGTCGGTTCTCTGTCTCGCTCTCGCGCGCGCGCGCTGCTCTTTTTATATTTCGTCCTTTTCATTATTGTGCTTCCCTTCTTTCGACCTGCAGTTTTGGTCGTAGCTCTCATTCTCCTTTTCTTTCTCTTCTTCTTCTTCTTCTTCTTCTTCTTCTTCTCTCTCGCCGTATGTATACCGCAGAGGAATGCAATTGGAGCAACGCGACTGCGAAGAACGAGCTCGACTCTCGTTGTGCCGCTGCTTCCCCTTCTGTTTTCGCGCCAATCGCATTATAATATACATACGGTATAACGTATACGCGTACGTATTTATCGACGAATATACGCGCAATTATTCGATGCATCGTTGTTAAGCGTTTTAAATTCATCAGCCGCGACGGTATTGAACGATAGAAAAAATTTCAGGTTCTTCTCGCTCGCAGCCCTGAAACACAAACTCGAGTATACAGTTGCATTCGGATATTTGCAACTATAGCGTGAAGCGTGCGGGGGGTGCGGTGCGACGGGGGTCAGCAGCAGCAGCAGCAGCAGCAGCTCGACCATACTCGACTCACTCGCACGCAGCGCATAAGCGTGAAATTGGCCAGCGTGCGAACGAGTTTTCAAACTCGTGTGGGCGAAGTCTCATCTCATCTCTCTCTCTCTCTACACACACACTTGGCGTAAACATGTATACGCTCGCGTACAGAAATTGGCCCCGAATAACCGGTCTTGTTGCATGTATATAAGAGGTGTAGAGGTAGAGAGAAATGGCTCACGGCATATACACCTGTGCTTAAACGGACAGCTCGTTTTGTGTATAGTACATATATCGAGTTACGCGCGCTTCGCCGTATCCAATTTTTTAAATTAATTAATAAAATATATACAATGTTTGTGTTTCACAGACGAACGTCGGCCCGATCCTCGTCTGTCTCAATCCCTACACGAACGTGGGCAATCCGCTCACCCTGACGAGCACCCGCACGGTGCCGCTGTCGCCCCATCTGAACCGCGTGGTCGGCGAGGCGGTGCGCCAGCAATCGGAGACCGGCTATCCCCAGGCCGTCATACTGTCCGGCACCTCGGGCTCGGGCAAGACGTTCGCCTCGATGCTGCTGCTGCGTCAGCTGTTCGACGTCGCTGGGGGCGGACCCGAGACCGACGCGTTCAAGCACCTGGCCGCCGCCTTCACCGTTCTGAGGTCGCTGGGCTCGGCCAAGACGGCCAGCAACAGCGAGTCGTCGCGCATCGGCCACTTCATCGAGGTCCAGGTGACGGACGGCGCCCTCTATCGCACCAAGATCCACTGCTACTTTCTCGATCAGACCCGGGTGATCAGGCCGCTGGCCAAGGAGAAGAACTATCACATATTCTATCAGATGCTCGCGGGCCTGTCCACGGAGGAGCGCTGCCGACTGAATCTCGAGGGTTACGGCGTGGCGAATCTGCGCTACCTGCAGCACGGCGATCAGCGCCAGGACGAGGCCGAGGACGCCGCTCGCTTTCAGGCCTGGAAGTCGTGCCTCGGCGTCCTGGGCATCCCCTTCCTCGACGTGGTGCGGGTCCTCGCCGCGGTCCTCATACTCGGCAACGTGGGCTTCAGCGACGGGCCCGGGCCCGGTGTCGAGGTCACGGTGGTGGGCGAGGCCGAGCTCGCCGCTGTGGCCGCCCTACTCGGCATCACGCCCGCCGCCCTACTCAGGGGACTGACCTCGAGGACGCACAACGCCCGCGGCCAGCTGGTCAAGTCCGTCTGCGACGCCAACATGTCCAACATGACGAGGGACTCGCTGGCCAAGGCGCTGTACTGTCGCACGGTGGCGACCATAGTGAGGCGGGCCAACAGTTTGAAGAGGCTGGGCTCGACCCTGGGCACGCTGTCGTCGGACTCGAACGAGTCGGTGCACAATCAGGCCGAGGTACAGAGCCAGCACGCATCGACGATCGGCAGCTCGGCCGGTAAGTAAGAAGATCGACGCTGAATTATTTCCTTGGTAGAGATGCTCAATATTAATTGTGGCCAAATGACTAAGAAATTAATGTTAAAAATGTTTTGGAATACGTCAATTTACTTTTTTTTGGTAAATATTCTGTTACAATTAGGTTACAAATAAATAGTGCATATTAAATAGTTTCAGAAAATTTAGACCAACTTTTCATCTACTATAATACGATAATTTTACTTTGAGTCTCCACCACTAGATGGCGAGTACCTTCATCTGTAAATCTGCAAGCAGCAAAATCCAAATATATTTATAAATCGAATCATCTTATAATCTTATTAATATTTACCAAACATTTCTATGTGTTTCGTAAAATTAAATTAATGAATGAGATTTAATAGACATTTCACATTAAAAATATGGAAAATAACTATTGGAAGGATCTCTAAATGGTAATTTGCACGCATTTCATGAGGTCGAAAAATTGTCAGAGCATAGCAAAGAAAAAGTATAAAATGTTGGAAAAAACGTTATTCTTTTGGGTAGTATACTTCCAGTTCTAATCACCCTTAATCGTGTCTAAAAAACTCTTTCATTAGCCAAAAAGTAGACGTAAAATGTTGAACATTTTTATCAGGGTTCAACCAGAATCTTGACCATCTTCGAATCGAGATCAAGATATCGGTTCAACTGTAAAAATTTTATTGTTATTTAACTTTTAGACGCGTCGAAAAAAAAATTTCAAATGATGTTTTATAATTACAAAAGTTATTCTGAAAAACCAATCATTTTTTTATGAAAATTAAAGTGGTACTAATATTGTATTTAAATACTGCACATTCACTCGATCGATGTGTTAATTTTGAAGCAAGGACTTTAAAATACCGCTATTATTTTATAAAATTTAATAAAAATTCTCGCATTAAAATGGAAAAAGTGCAAAGCTTTGATTTTTTGTAAAATGAGGCAAACGTGTTGAGAATTCCACAATTAACGCGAGATGGCGTATAGCCGAATTTTCGGTAACCTAAAGAGAAAATAAAAAGCTCGAAGGATAAGACGAGGAATCATTGCTTTGAAGTAAATTCCGTTTTGATTGTGTCTTATGGAATAGCCGCCTATTGAATATGGATATCGATCGGAGAAATTCATCCGATTGGGCAGGAATTAGTTACCGTTACTCTAATTACAACCGAATTGTATACATTTTTAATTTTCGAAGTAGATACGTCACTTCTTTCCTTCGTCACACGCACACAAGCCGAGTAAATTAATTTACACATAAAAACGTGCGTGTGTCTTTGTAGGCGGCACGGGCTCGCGCAGCATGACGGCGCTGAACAACGCGGTGCGCCACGCCACGGACGGCTTCATCGGCATCCTCGACATGTTCGGCTTCGAGGACCCGGCGCCGTCGCAGCTCGAGCACCTCTGCATCAATCTCTGCGCCGAGACGATGCAGCACTTCTACAACACGCACATATTCAAGAGCTCGATCGAGAGCTGCCGCGACGAGGGCATCAGGTGCGACGTCGAGGTCGATTACGTCGACAACGTGCCCTGCATCGATCTCATCTCGTCGCTCGTGAGTTATAGATAATTTTTTTTTTCTTTTCGTGTACATTTTATTTATTTCATTCGACTCCAGCGCACCGGACTGCTGAGTATGCTCGACGTCGAGTGCTCGATCCGGGGCACGGCCGAGAGCTACGTGGCCAAGGTCAAGGTGCAGCACAAGCAGAATCCGCGACTGTACGAGCCGAGAACGGTGGACTGTCGCTCGTTCGGCATACAGCACTTTGCCGGTCGCGTCATCTACGACGCCTCGGACTTTCTCGGTAAATTATTTATACATCGCGTCGATTACATCCGTATACGCGTGAATTTTTGATCTACACGTGTGACACTGTTTACGACTGCGCAGACACGAACAAGGACGTGGTGCCCGACGATCTGGTCGCCGTCTTCTACAAGCACACCTGCAACTTCGGCTTCGCGACTCACCTGTTCGGCAGCGAGCTCAAGGCCCTCTACGCGAGCGACACCGTGCCGAGGGGCGTCAGCTTTCGCATATCGCCCACGTCGCATACCGATCTGTGAGCTACTTACTTAGATCGATACATCGTTTTTATTTTTCTCCTTTTTCTCTAACATCACGTTATTATTTTGCGGCAGATTGAACGGCGACGAGCCGATCTCGACGCTCACGCAGGACTTTCACACGCGGCTTGACAATCTGCTGAGGACGCTGGTGCACGCGAGGCCGCACTTCGTGCGCTGCGTGCGCAGCAACGCCTCCGAGAGCCCCATGCAGTTCGACCGGAACGTGGCGATGCGCCAGATACGCTCGCTCCAGGTCCTCGAGACGGTCAATCTCATGGCTGGCGGTGAGTTCGTAATCACGATGATGATATAAGGTCGCGCAAAAAATTGATGAAAGAATTGAATCGCTGAAATAGATGTGGTAAAATTATGGAGGCATAACAGTAGGATTAGCATAAAGCAAATTTAGAAGCGAGCTAAATTTATTTACTATGATATTATCTACTGAATATGGTAATTTCATAATTTGTACAGATATTAACGCATTTTAATGTAATATTTTGATTGATTTAATTATACAACATGGTACTTTTTCTGGAAGAAATATATTTATCTTTCAAATTTGATGTTGATTTTACAAATTAAAATAACATGATATAGGAAGAATACAAAATATCGTAATTAATAAAAATTATTAAACTAGTCTTGTTTGACAGTACACTAAATAGTACATCAGTGAGTCATTATTGAACATAAATTTAATATATATGTTAGGTTCTGATGCGCGAATTATGCGCTACGTCGATGTGAGCTTTAAGATTTCTTTTTTGACTGAATGTCTTTCCGCAAGTCCCGCATGAATGGGTTATAACATTATGCGAAGATTTCACATGCTTATTGAGATAATTCTGATATTTAAATTTTTTTTCGCAGAAATCACATGCGTGTGTGATTCCATTGTGCTTCGCATCGATATGAGCTTTAAGACTTCTTTTCGCAGTAAATTTCTTTGTGCACATATCACATGGATGCGTAATTTTATGATGTATCGATTCGATGTGAGTTTTGAGATGATCTTTTCGAGTGTATGTCTTCCCACAAATGTCACACGCATATGGGACACCATTATGCACCGAAGCGATGTGCTTTTTGAGATAACCCTTGTCTGAGAATGTCTTTTGGCATTCATCACATGGATGCGTAATTTTATGATGTATCGATTCGATGTGTTTTTGAAGATTACTCTTTTCTGAGAATGTCTTTTGGCATTTATCACATGGATGCGTAATTTTATGATGTATTGAATCGATGTGTTTCGTGAGACTACTCTTGTCTGAGTATGTCTTCGGGCATAAATTACACGCATGTGAAACACCATTATGCACCACATCGATGTGAGTTTTGAGAAGATTTTTTCGAGTGTATGTCTTTCCGCAAATGTCACATGTGTAAGTGATTTTATAATGCACCGAATCGATGTGTTTTTTGAGACTACTCTTGTCTGAGAATGTCTTTGGGCATGTGTCACATGCATATCGGACTCGATTGTGCAACGAAACGATATGCCTATTGAGATCACCTCTTCGTTTGAATACATTTCCGCATATTTCACATGCGTGTGTGACATCCTTGTGGACTGTATCAATGTGGACGATCATATGAGTCTTTTGCCTGAATGATTTTCCGGAATTATCACATGCAGGTGTGATTCCATTATGCGCAGTAACAAATACTTCTTCGTTCAACATCTCTTTCTTCACTGTCCCGACAGTTTCTAGTTTAATTGTGCTTCCAGTTTTATAATCAAGACTATCCTGCCATTGATTTGGAGAGAAATCTTCAATTTTCGCAACAGTCAATAAATTGGGCTTCATGTCTATACATTCCAATTCGATTTGCATGTCCTCAAGTTTATTTGTGTCATTTTTATCACAATTTCGATGCGCCTGTAATAAAATAGTAAGTTATGAGAAAGTTATTCCAGAAAATGCTTTCTACGTGTATCTTATATGATTGATTGCATATTCTTACAGAATATTCTCTGGAGATTCGAACAGTCTTAACATCGGGCGTCTTGTTAATTATTTCATAATAATTTTCATCAAGCAACTCGTCACAAGGTTCTTTTTTCACTCTGAAATAAATGTGATATTATAAAATCATATTTAAACATTTTACTACTTTCAATTCTCATAAAACAAAAATTACCTATCGGTCCAGTTGAAGAAACTACTCGATGCCATCTTACTTTATTAAACGTTCGTTGACAAATGATGTTTTCGTAATAACATCAAACTAATTTAAAACTTATTCCATAATATTCACGTAAATCGTGATATTAAATCCTCGACACACCGATGTAAACAGAGCAATACCATGTCATTCAATAATAAATTCAATAATGTTATCATAGAAAAAAAATTACGTTATTCATCTATCAAATAAACGATAATTATTTTTCCATGAATGATGTTTTATTCAAAAAATGTTAAGATAAAAACTATAGAGAATTATTCTATTGCGTTCGAACCGCGCCGAGAGTTAATCAAGCCAGGAAGTCGGAAAATATTGCTCGAACAAGTCAACTTTGCTTTTATATTCGTTGATCGAAAAAGAATCGTGGCTCTGTTTTTGAAAAAAATATTTATTTAAACACACTCTATTATTATACATTATATAAAAGATGAAAAGAATATTCAAAAACTTCTTACAGCTATTTTGAGCCCTTGACTTTGACTAAATTTTTGTCTTTTGTGAAGCTAACAGAATATATGAATTAATGGTAATTATTAGATTTATGCTTTTGAAACATAATTTTTGTGTTAGCTTAAGTTTTATTTTTAATAATTAAAGCTGGGGAAAATTTTAATTTCATTTAAGTACAAAACCTCGAGGTCAACACTTATAAGAAAGAAAAAAACGCCAGGATGAAATAACCCTTCAATAACTGATTGTTTAAATCTTGATCTCTTGTTCTTTTGTGCATATTGACATTATTGGTGGGCTGGTTTTTCCTGCGAGAAATTTTACGGATTTCGTCGAGGTGAATATTGTCAATTAATCACCAGTATGTTGGTATAGGTGCGCAATATACTGTAATTAAATTTGTTTAGAACTGGCAAAGGTCAACTGTACTTAACAGATGGTGTAGAAAAGTGGTCGATTGGTTATTGACTTGGTGTCTGGACCAATGGGATAAGATATTTTTGAAGTTCTCAATTAGGTCCTATTTCCCTGTTAGAACCGTATCTTTCAAAGTTATATGAACGTGAACGATTAATCATCTCATTTTATAGCAAGATTTTGGAGCAAGTCAAAATTAGAAACGAATTTTTTATAAATTAATGGAACATAAGATAACTCGGGGCAAATTTTTCGTGGGTTTCAGAGCATGTTATATGACTAGAAGCAAATTTTATAGCATTATTTCGGACTGAGTGATAATTTGCAGTGAATTTTGTCATATAATAAAAGAGCAATGATTATTAATCCATGATGCCTATCATTTCGGCCTCATAAATACTTAAAAAACAGATCAAAAGCAATATTGTTTAGGTCAATGCAAATTTGTAAGCTTGTAAAATGTATTTACTAAGTAAGTTACGAATTTAATATACTCATGTAATATCCTCTAATAAACAAGCAATAGTAATCCTTAAAATAGTCACTCTACAATTTGTATGAACGTAATGTTTAAATCCATTCAAAATAAGCAGTGCTGTTTTTTCGGGAAAAAAGAAATTTATTTTTTTCAAACTTGTCATTTTTTTTGCAGATCAAGATAACATAATAGATGAAGAAAACAAAATATCGTAATTAATAAAAATTATTAGTCTTGTTTGACAGTACACTAAATAGTACATCAGTGAGTCATCATTGAACATAAATTTAATATATATGTTAGGTTTTGATGGGCGAATTATGCGCCACGTCGATGTGAGCTTTAAGATTTCTTTTTTGTCTGAATGTCTTTCCGCATGTCCCGCATGAATGGGTTATAACATTATGCGACGATTTCACATGCCTTTTGAGATGAGTTTTATATTTAAATTTTTTTTCGCAGAAATCACATGCGTGTGTGATTCCATTGTGCTCCGCATCGATATGGGCTTTAAGAATACTTTTCGTAGTAAATTTCTTTGTGCACATATCACATGGATGCGTAATTTTATGATGTATCGATTCGATGTGAGTTTTGAGATTACTTTTTTGTGAGAATGTCTTCCCACAAATGTCACACGCATATGGGACACCATTATGCACGGCATCGATGTGGATTATAAGATAATACTTGTCTGAAAATGTCTTTTGGCATTCATCACATGGATGCGTAATTTTATGATGTATCGATTTAATGTGAGTTTTGAGATTACTTTTTTGTGAGAATGTCTTCCCACAAATGTCACACACATTAGGGACACCATTATGCTCCGAATCGATGTGCTTTTTGAGATAACCCTTATCTGAGAATGTCTTTTGGCATTTATCACATGGATGAGTGATTTTACGGTGCACCACATCGATGTGGATTTTGAGATGACTTTTCTGTATGAATGTCTTTTCGCAAATATCACATACATGTGATTCACCATTATGTATCGCATTAATGTGTTTTTTGAGATAACGCTTGTCTGAGAATGTCTTTTGACATATATCACATGCATGTCGGACTGGATTGTGCACCGAATTGATGTGATTTCTGAGATTACTTCTGTCTGAGAATGTCTTTTGGCATGTATCGCATGCATGCCTAATTTTACGATGCACCGAATCCATGTGTGTTTGGAGATTACTCTTATATTTGAATGATTTTCCGCAAATATTACAATCATGTGTGATTTTATTATGCCTAGTATCATTGTGAATTTTGAGCCTATTTTCATTGTTTAGCTCTTTTGAAACAGTTTCTTGTTTATTTTGCTCTCTGAGTCCACGTCCGAAATTCAAATCAGTTTCTTCTTCGCTTAAAATTTCTTTCTTCACTGTCCCAAAAGTTTCTAATTTAATTTTGCTTCCTGTTTTATACTCATTACCATTCAGCCATTGATTTGGAGAATGATCTTCAATTTTCGCAACCGCCAATAAATTGGGCTTCATGTCGGTACATTCCATTTCGATTTCCAGATCGTCAAGTTCAATTTCATGATTTTCGTCATATTCATGAAGAAGCTCTTGGGTCTGAAAAAAAATAAAATTATTAGGAAAATTTTATTAATGATTATCGAACATGATTATCAACACTTACTGCATTTTCTTGCCAAAACCTTTCGTATTTAATATTTTGAGTGACGGGTGTCGTGTCAATTATTTTATAATCATTATCATTGAGAAGCTCATCACGAGGTTCGTCTTTTACTCTAAAATAGATTTAGTAAGATTAATTATTTTGCTATGAGAATATCGTCGTATAATTTTTACAAAATAAAAATTACCTAACAGGACAATTGAAGAAAGTACTCGATTCCATCTTACTTTGAACGACGGACTCGGATAGAATTTGTCTGTGGACAAAAAATGTTGTGTAGAGTTTATTTGTGTATAAATTATTTTCTACTTTGATCATCGAACACGTGTAGAATTTGACCGTGTACAAATAATTTACGATTTTAGAGCACAGCGTTCGTGTAGAGTTTGATCGTGTAAAATTAATTCGTGCTATTTATCACAATACTCGTGTAAAGTTTGACTGTGTATGATTTTTCTGCATATTAACGGTGTACAATTTAACCGTGTACAATAATTGTAAAAACATATACAAAATATTTGTGTAGAGTTTGTTTGTGTACATTTTACTCGACGTGGGCAGTTCTGAGGTGGACACTTTGTACGGTGCCGATAAAAGTTCGTTGGCGAATGATGTTTCCGTAATATATCAAACTAATTGAAAACTCATTCCATAATATTTACACAAATCTTGCCGTTGAACCTTCGGCACACACAATGTAAACAGAGCAATATCGAGTCATTAGGTACTATTGAAAAAATTTACACAATTTGTCTACCGAATGAACAATAATTATTTTTCTATACGAATAATATTTTATTGAAAAATTTTCGAAATCAAAAACTATAGAGAATTATTTGATCGCGTCCGAACCACGCCGAGAAAGAGCTAGTTACTATAATTTCAAAGTCCTTCACGATTTCAGCACTACCCCATCCAATAACGACGTACGATCGTTCAACAATATGAACCAATTAAAATCCTCGAGTCTCCAATGCCGCTCTAATTTCTCGTTTCTCGCACCGCTAGGCTATCCGCACCGCATGCGCTTCAAGGCGTTCAACTCGCGCTACCGCCTCATAGCCCCGTTCAAGCAGCTGCGCCGCAGCGAGGAGCAGGCGATCGAGGACACGCGCCTCATACTGCAGAACGCGCAGGAGCTGCGCGGCGGCGATCAGCTCGGCCTCGGCACCAGCTGGGCCCTCGGCAAGCGGCACATATTCCTGGGCGAGGCGACGCGCCAACAGCTCGAGCAGCTGCGCGGCGAGATCAGGCAGCGCGCCGCCACGGACATACAGGCCAGTTGGCGGGGTTGGCGCATCAGGCGACGATGGACCCTGAGACGGGGCGGCAGCACCAAGCACAGCAGCCACCACCACCACCACCACCAACAGCTGCCGCCGCCGCCCTTGATCGTGCACCATCCGAAGCAGCATCATCATCTCAATTCGCATCAACATCCCAGCAATCATCACAACAATCATAATCAGCTTCATCCTGGCTCGCAATCGTCGTCGGGAGGTAGTACTTTGCAGCGAAATATCGCGGCTATGCAGACTGCTGCCGCTGCCGTTGCTGCTGCTGCTGCTGCGGGAGCGACGGGAACGAGGCCGAGACCGCAGCCGATCGCCGGTACACCGCCCCCGGATCCGATCGAGATGAAGATCGCCGACCAGAAGACGATACAGCAGACCGGCGCCCTTTACGGACTCGATCTGGTAAGTAATTCATGATGATTTATCATCGCGAGCTGACAAAAGCATGCTTTCTTTTTTGCTTAAAATTGTTATGCTTTTTCGTGTATCAGGAACGACCACCGCCCCTACCACCGAGCAGATCTTACACGGTCACGGGTAACACGAAGCTCGGCTATCCGCAGACGAGGGTGATGAAGAAACCCTTTCCAGGTAAGCGTAAGTGTTGCCAAGAAAAAAAAATACCTTCGTCCCTTGACAGAAATGCTCGATATCGTATACGATTAATTTTGGGGAGAAACCTATTTTCTTCAAACCGAAGTTTGTGTTATATAATTATATTTTGACTTTGCCTCTTGCAGATTTACAAATGTAGGTACTCGCCATCTATCGGTGAAGTTTTGAAGTTGTTGTATTCGAAGTGGTTGAAAACTGGCCTGAATATTGTTATCCAGTTAAATCGTCAATCGAAGGTCACATAATTAAAAAAAAAGAATTATTAAAAACGAAAACCTATATTATCAATATCGAGCATTTCTACCAGCGACAAAAATAACAATGATAAAACAACAGCCACTCCGAGCTCACAACGACCATTATATCGTAATACATAACGAGCCATCACTCATGCTTTTTTTTTCTCTTCTCGCAGAGGAAGGCGAGGGCGAAGTGGTCTTGCTGAAGGGCGAGACGGTCCTCGTGATCGGCGCCTCTCAGCATCGGGGTCACCTGCTGGTCGAGTACAACAACGCCACCCTCAGCGTGCCTTATCAATTCATGGAGCTGAAGCCGTGCAACATCAACGTTTAACGAGCACGTGCACGTACACGTATATACACGATCTCCTCGTTGGAATTCAGCGAGAGAGAGAGAGAAAAAATTATTCTTCGACATTTTTATCGATAACAAAGTATTATTTAATTGTATTTAATTGCCGTTAATCTTTACGTATTGCCATGTATAAGTTCGTTAGTTGTAAGGACCAATTATCAAATGTCTTCCAATTAAATTAGAGAAATTAGGTTTAAGTGTTTTTCCTTGGCTACTAATGTTTATGAACAAAAAGCAAACGAAACAAAAATTCGGCTCGATGCTGAGCGCCGAATTGTACAAAAAAAAAAAAAAACGTCGTCGTGTTATCATTGAATTCTTAGTGCCAATCCAGCGAGAGAAGAAAGACACCTACATTATAAGCATCGAATAATAATATTGTGTACATAAGGATTAGTCTTTACTCCCCCTTTCCATTACTCTCGTACATCGAGCTTTTCTATACACTTCTTAAAAATAGTCACGCAGCGGATCTATCTATACTTACGATTTATACATTAAGAGAGGATTATTATATTATAATTACGTAACGATGCCGAACCTCTCCTAGCATCGTAGAACACATTTACCGCGTGAAAGGATTATAAAATTTATATGTATGTGCATTTATGTATGTGTGTGTGTATGGTGTGCTTTGCCGTAAGCTCCGCATGCGATTCGCCGCGCGCACCGAGCGCATATATATATATATCTAAGAGCCAAGAGACTGTTGTATAGAAACGCATTACGAATTGCGCAATATCCAGAGCGCGACGCGTAATTGAATTAATCTTTAATCCGAGTACGGCGCGCAAAACATTATTGTGCGTGCGTTATTCCATCTGTATATATCCGCTGGTTTATAAAGATGATTTATTTTATTTTATTATTATTATTATTATTTCAAGATGTAACCCTGAGTCATATTTTATATTATTTACGATATCTATTATGTATCATTATGATTACTTACTTACTTTTTATCAATAATCCGAAGTCTTCTCTAAAAGGGGTAAAAAAGCCGCAATAAATCATTCATATATTATATTATATTTATAAAACATAATCAAAATGGTCCTCGTTTATTATACATTACCTTCAATTTTACAACTCGTCGCCGTCTGCATCGTGTATATATAGTTCGCGTCACATTCACAAACATCATCACGCGCGAGTCTTGTAATATCATCCTCTCTCGCGACTCGACGCGAAAACTTTTTGCAAAAGGAACATCGTCGCGTTCGTCTCGCGTCATACTTATGTGTTTGCCGACGACGACGACGACGACGACGACGACGACTTGCCGCAAACTCAAAGAGTACATATATACGTATACGTACGCGACGAGAGGGAAAGAGCCTAACGACGCGCGGCATCATCCCTCCCCCGCCCGCGCGAAAGTCTCAAGAAGCTCGCGCGGCTGCAAAACGGAAATGATGAAATTACAAGGACGCGGCGCCTCGTGTGTGTATATGCGCGCATGCAGCACTGCATTGCAACGCTGTAACTATCTGCTAGAGCGCGTGTTTATCGCGACTGCGACGGGCCTTATTAAAATCACATGCCAAAGGGGGTTTATCAAAAGACTCGCGAGGGAGATGTCGTCGTAGTCGCGGGTAAGGTTTAATATCAAAACTAATTGATTCCGGTGGATAACTGTTGATTTTTAATAAAGCTTCCGCGTATCTCTCGCGAGAGTGGAAAAAGATATATTACACGGAAGCCAAAAAAGAAAAAAAAAATAAGCGAGGAGAAGAGGAGAACCCAAGTACGTCAACATTTACAAATCTCGCTCACGTAACAACAATCCATCTTTCCTCGCGCAGTACACCTTATTGTCCACGTCGTTTCTTCCTTTTTATTATATATCTGATATATATATTTTTTTTTCACTCGTGCTTGGTTTATCACGTCCTTTCTCTCGAACAGAAGGTGCAGGGGTATCTGCGGCTATGGGATGCCACCACCACCACCACCGACAACGTCTTATAAGTCTTATTTTCCTCCTTTTTCTGACCCGGCTCCATACCGCGCGCTATATTTGCCGTTTGCATTCCAATTTTCCAATACATCGACGAAGCTCGAACCGGTGTAATTTCATTCCGTAAGCGTACACAGGAGCTGCTCTTGTGAAAATTGATAAAAAAAAATATTTTTTTCCTCTCTTTTAATTTTTTTTCTCACCAGACACCGTTGCATAGCGTGAGGCCAATTATTTATGCTCGGATCCGATCGAGGCAGGCCGTAGAAGTATGGAATAAAAACTTTTTTTTTTGTCCCGCGCCGAAAAAGCTCGAGTCACCTCTAGTAGTCGCCTGCACATGGGGTTGGTTAGCTAGGCTAGACACAGTCTCGCTGCGAGCCGCGCAAATTGCACAAAACAGCGGGCGGAAGAGCAGCAGCAGCCTAGCGCCCAAAGGCATATAATATAGCAGCTCTCGTACACACACACACACACGTACACACACACAATAGGTGTGGCGAAAGCTCCGCTATACACACGGGCGGGGATGGGGTATTAAATATGACAACAAAGAGTGTGAGAGAGCGAGGACGAGCTTGACTCTTTCTCACTGCTGCTGCTACAGGCTACAGGCTACAGGCTGCTGCCGCGTGCGCTTAAACGGAAGGAGGTATGAATATTAATGTCGGAAGTGCAGCCTAGCGGCGGCCGCGATGAAGCGCGTAATTTCGAGTCTCCCACCAGCCACCAGCATCATCGCCACACAGCTGTAGCGCACCGCGGAGCTATTTTTTTTCGTCGACTTATAGAGAAGGGCTGGAAAAACTTCATTTTTTTTTTTTGGTTGTCGTCGTCGTTGTTGTTGTTGTTGCTCGTTGTTGTCGTTGCGATTATATACTTTGAAAGGGGTAGATAGCGCCGATACAACGCGTCGACTATGCGCGCAAAATCAATTCTTGCCTCTTTATTTATTTTTCTTTCCCTCTTTTTTTTCTGTACCTACGTATACCTATGTACGTATACGCACAATGTATATAACGGCGCGGTGTAGCAGCAGCAGCAGCAACGTTTATACGAAATAGCTTTTACGCGGCCGCTTTTACGGTCGTGCAGGCTGCTGCTGCTGCTTCTGTGCCATTAAAGTCTATGCGCGCAACGCACACGACATGCGTGTATGTGGGTGGCTGGTAGCCCTATATATATAAAATATCTCTCTCTATATATGGCTAACAAAAAGAGAAAAGGTCGTGTACATATATTTTTTTCCTGCTGCACCGGTGTGTTTACAGGCCCGTTAACTCGCTAAACTTGTCATCGAGATAAAAGTCTCCGTAAATATCGAGAGCGAACTGCATGGGAAAATTTTTGCGCTAGATATAAGTATAAGCTAGAGCTAGAGCTTCGTCGATACATTATTATTGTACGTCGCGAAATATTTTCTTTTAATCTACGAAATATTTCGTAATATTTACTTCCTCCTCCCCCTACTCCTCCTTCTCTCTCCCCGCGAAAAGTGAAGAAAAAAAAGAACAGACTCGCATGCCTCGTATATGGTAGCGTACATACGGTAACATGTCAAAGCCTCGAGGGAAAATTTCATGCAGTTATGTGTGTAGCGAGCGCGGGGGGGTTGTGGCGCGGGGGCGCGCGCGCGAAATTATAATAATAATCATAATAAGAGCTCCTAGCTCGCGTCGTCGTCGTCGTCGTCGCGTTGCCGCGCGCATCTGCGTCGTAGCTTTTCCAATTACTTTAAAGGAACTGCGGCGGTGGTGCAAGGCAGCTCCGCACCACGCGCGCGCAGAGAGAGGAAGTGTACGGTACAGTTGAAGGATTCCTATATAATATTTTTCGCTTTCTCCGTCTGTGTGACTGCGCGCGTACGTATACACGAGTGCCAAGATATTGCATGAGCAACTCCGACGCGTTATACGAAAATTGCGAATCAATCAATTCATCGCGCGGATTGAAGTGTTACATATTTTGCCCGCGCCGCATTTCTGCCATCGCCGTTGCTGCTGCTGCTGCTGCTGCTGCTGCTGCTGCTGGGGGTTGTTGTTAGAGCGTCGGCGAACGAGCGAATGTCGTTGAGTTTAATACGTTGGCGTGGCAAAAGCTGGAGATTGCGTGTTTTTCTTCGTCGGCGAGCTTGTTTTTTTTTCAACTTACGAATTGACGTGTGCGTCTGGATGTATACGTGCTAATCGAGAATCTTTTCAAAAATATTTGGAAACTGTTGATCTGAAAGCGGCAATCGTAAATGATGACGTCAAATATATATTCATAATCCGTCAACTGTTAAAATTAGCAGTTTGATTTTTGAAACTGGAATGATAGATGCTTGCGATCCTGTGACTTATACTTTGTCGTACTTAATTTTTTATTATTCTTAAAAAAAAAAAAATCTATTGCATGATATTACAGGAATTTTAGTGTTAGTTCGCAGTTTGAGAAAGGAGGAAAAAATTCACCGAAGGAATTTCAAATTATTACCTTATTGTAAAGATTATGGTAATTGTCTTAATTTAAGTTCTTAATATTCAATCTTAATGTTTTGTTGAGGTATGCTTTTTATTCACGGTATTTTACGAATAGGTTTTTTTTCATAAGGACCGGTGATTTTATATTTTCGCGAGAGTTACCGGTTGCTCAAATACAGAAGTCGGCATAAAAAAAGCAATCCCAATCACGATCACGACATAAAGTATTATAATAATATTTTTTAGTAGATAATGTAAAGAAAGTAAATAATAGAAAATATGTATTTAATATATACTGAATAAACGCTTAACTGATGGTTTGTAGCAAAGATTAATAATTCAATTTTTTTTAGTAAGCTGTTATAAGATCTGCAGTTTATGAATAGTATTTGGCACTATTTTAAAAAGACGAATTGACACTCACATTATATTGTAGATCATTAACAATAACTAAATAAATCCAATATGTTCTTCGAATGTTGTATACTTTCATGCATGATATATTTTATAATGTAAAAAATTTAATTTGATACATGATAATAATATTTTAAAAACTTAGAATTTCATTCAATTAAAGTTCAAAAATACAAACAATTATTATTGTTTAAAATAAAAATCAAGCTCAATCGAGCTTTGAATTATTTTTCATTTGTAAGGCTGTGATCCAATCAGTTTTCTTTAAGTCTTCGCCTTGATCATTGACTGCAAAGAAAATATTCATTAAGTCTTTGTTCGTTAATTTTTTAATGATTATATCGCAGCAGAGTAGTGGCAAATGGTTGTGGCACGTCAGCTCCAGGAGAGGTTCCAGTGCCCAACGTCGGAGAAATCTTCTCGCTATCATCTCAGAAAGGTGCGTTGAACACTCCTGACTACATTCTATAGAGTTATAGAAAAGAAAAGAAAATAAGGATCTCTGGAACTCGTATAAGTTCTTATACGTGACTACTTTCTCAAACTCTTCGTGTGGTAACTGAATCAAATCGTAGAACGACAGGTTAGAAATAAACATTAAGTTTTTGTCACTATCCAAATATTTTTTAAGGTCCTCTGAGTTATTGAACAATTCGTATTTTGCGAATAGTTTTATGATCGTCAAGGCGAACCTTGAAACTTTTGAAGACGCGTGTCTCGAAACAATAGATTTTTATATTGTCAGTCTAATGTTTATATTATTCTTCGAGAACATCTACAAGTGAGTCAACGGCTTTTATTTGATAGTTTCTCGACAGATCGCTGTACGATTTGATTGAGTAAACGTGTCAGGACGATCGCATCGACCGCAGTGAATGATTTTCGTGACCAGTGAAATATTCTAAATTGATCACTATGTTTCAAGACGACCAAAACAGTTTAAAAGTTTGGCAATTGAAAACCATGCGGGAAAGTGTTGATTGGGAGATCCAAGGAGATCGGATCACATTTTTCAAAAATTTTTATCCCTTCATCGAAAATTGGATCGACGGATTGCCAAATCTCCGAGATATTTTTCAACAAGACGAAATTGAGTTGCTTCTCCTGGATTCCATAAACAACTTGAATCGAGTCCCATATACGAATAGAACGGTAGAACGACTCATACAGTTTGTGGTTAGCACGGGTTACAAAGACGAGCCCAAACTCGATGAGGAAGGCAAACCAGCGATGGTTCGGCACACACCAGTGCATCTCGCAGCTAGAAGATGGTGCCTTGATTTGGTCCCCGAGTTGTTTAAAATATACGACAGGTTCGATGTGAATTTCATCGACGGAGATGGCTACACGCATTTTCACGCGGCCTGCATGGGCGGCTGCTACGACGTCGTCGAAAAATTTCTCGACTTCGGTCAGGATCCCAATTTTCTGGTATCGTCGTCGAATTGCTCTCCACTTTTCTTGGCTGTGGAACTGTGCGTGTTCTATAACAAAGAAAGCGGAATGAAAGTGGCGGAATTGCTGCTGAGACGAGGCGCCGATCCAACTTTAGCCAATGCACACGGAGTGACTCCGCTGCACGATATTGGCTCGAACGTCGACTGCGCGAAGATGATGTTGGAGATCAACGGCGACGATATTCAGAGGACGGCGCGGCTGGTCCATGCCCGGGACATATACGGCAAGACTCCGTTGCACTCGGCCGCGAGAGAAGGACGCGCAGACTTGATCGAATTGCTGCTGAGCAAAGGCGCCAATCCTTACGCAGTCGATCACAATGGAGTGACTCCGCATCAATTGATTGGCCATAGAGTTGAGTTGCTGGAACTGTTCCGCAAGTACCGCGAAGAGAACCAACAGGCAATGGAAGATCAATGTCTTTATTCGGCTAGAGGCGAGAAGAGAAAGAACATCGAAGATTGAAATAGAGCTACCTTGATCAGAAATTGCAAGAGCTAATTTTTAAATTTTTATGTTATTTTTCGGCTTTTCGTGAAGGATGTGTGCCAATAAAAATACATGTATTAATGAGAGGCATTAATATAAATATTATTTAACGTCAAAATTACTATTGAATGAATAACTGATTTTAAATGAAATAAATCATGAATGAACTTCTGTGACTCAATTTTGTGTTTAATTATCATGAGAATAGAAATTATGTTGCATATTTCGACTTCAATGTGAATAAATGACAAACTCGTAGCTATATTTTTGTTAAAATTCATACAAACGTAATTTAACTAAGGTTTGCTTTTAATTCGATTCGGTAAGAAAAAAGAGGAGCTACTATGTGCCTATAATGCCTTTTGCAACAGATTCAACGTGATTCGATAACAAAGTCGTCGAAGATCATACGCCGCCAGTCAGATGCGCAACATCAATGATGACCTCACGATTGAAAAATGGTCGGTTTTTGTCTGACGATTATTAAAGTGCATTTTAAATCAGAATAAAAATGTAATTGTTTTAAAATTTAGAACAAATTTGGAGATACTTCAGATACGAGAATGTCACTTGGAGCATCCATCGCGAGATGGCGAATACCTTAAAATGTAAATCTGCAAGTGGCAAATTATAAATAATTATATAAGTCAAAGCACACATTTTTACACTAAGTTCGAATTTTTTTGTTTTGATATCTGTGATAACTTTCGATTTGCTGTTTTTGTAGAAGAATCGAATCAACTTGATATAAAATATTTGTCTCCTTATTCAATGAGATCTTTTTTGAAAGCGATTTATTCCCTGGTAGACGGAAAAATGACCATTTAAAAGTTGTTGAAATACAGAACTATTCATTGGCTTGTATTAAACGTGATTAATATGAATGATAACTATTCTACACATATTAATCACATTTCTAATGACCTAAAAACGATAATTTAATTATTTTGAAATTCAGAGCAATTTTCGGCCACTTCAAATACAAGGATATAGCTCTGAACGTTCGCCACTAAATGGCGAATACACTAATTTGTAAATCTGCAAGTGACAGAGTAAAAATATTTGTATAAGTCAGCACAATTTGTCTGAATAAAATACACTGCCTCTGCATAGGTTGGTCATAAATAATACTATGTGAATTGATTGCATCCAAAATGTAAAAAGAAGAATTGTCAAATTCCATACACTCGGCATAAATAATATTCAGCAGAGAGATGATATCAATCAATATATCGTGCGATAATTTTACATTGAAATATATACAGTTTAAGTATAGACGACGGCTCTCAGTGCCGACTCGTTCAGTTCGGTACACGTTGAGACGCGTCGCAGCGTCGACTGCAGCATAAATTCGATAAACCACGTGCGACACGTCTTGGCGATGGGAAAGCGCCGAAAAACACCGAAGGTCCGCGACGACGATGTCACCGACCCTCCGAACGATGACTGTTAACACGAAGAAAGCGATAACGACACCTACGAGTGCGACGAAGAGTACGAAGCCCCTTCCTTCGACTGGTATCCCAAGGACGCAGAGCAAATAAATTTGGAAAAATTGAAGAGCTCGCGAGATGAGGTCGATAACTGGGAGATCGAGGAGGAGCGAATCGAATTCGTCCGTCGACTCGAACCTTGGATCGCAAATTGGAAAGAGGGACTTCCGGATCTCCGCTGCTATTTCGCACCACAGCCGTCCACTGGGCGACGAGAGCCGAGAACACCTTCACCATGAGCTCCATCGTCGTGAACCTACTGAAGATATACGTCTGGTGCAACTACCGCGACAAGTCGTCCGGACTGACGCACTTTCACGCGGCCTGCGTGGCCGGCTGCGAGAAGAACGTCGAGGAATTTCTCGACGGGGGCCAGGTGGACGTCCATTCCGTTTGGCAAGAGACGGGTGACTCGCCGCTGCACTTGGCTCTGCGCTACGGCCGCGCGGAGCTGACGTGACTGCTGCTGAGACGAGGCGCCGTTGCGACGTTGGTGAATGAGGAGGGCGAGACACCTCTGCACGTCGTTTGCAAGAGGGGCCAATTTGCTATCAGGGGACGAGGGTATTTTTTTTTCTTGGCAACACACCTGGAAAGGGTTTCTTCATCACCCTCGTCTGCGGATAGCCGAGCTTCGTGTTACCCGTGACCGTGTAAGATCTGCGCGGTGGTAGGGGCGGTGGTCGTTCCTGATACACGAAAAAGCATAACAATTTTAAGCAAAAAAGAAAGCATGCTTTTGTCAGCTCGCAATGATAAATCATCATGAATTACTTACCAGATCGAGTCCGTAAAGGGCGCCGGTCTGCTGTATCGTCTTCTGATCGGCGACCTTCATCTCGATCGGATCCGGGGGCGGTGTACCGGCGATCGGCTGCGGTCTCGGCCTCGTTCCCGTCGCTCCCGCAGCAGCAGCAGCGGCGGCAGTCTGCATAGCCGCGATATTTCGCTGCAGAGTACTACCTCCCGAGGACGATTGCGAGCCAGGATGAAGCTGATTATGATTGTTGTGGTGATTGCTGGGATGTTGATGCGGATTGAGATGATGATGCTGCTTCGGATGGTGCACGATCAAGGGCGGCGGCGGCAGCTGTTGGTGGTGGTGGTGGTGGTGGTGGCTGTGGCTGTGCTTGGTGCTGCCGCCCCGTCTCAGGGTCCATCGTCGCCTGATGCGCCAGCCCCGCCAGCTGGCCTGTATGTCCGTGGCGGCGCGCTGTCTGATCTCGCCGCGCAGCTGCTCGAGCTGTTGGCGCGTCGCCTCGCCCAGGAATATGTGCCGCTTGCCGAGGGCCCAGCTGGTGCCGAGGCCGAGCTGATCGCCGCCGCGCAGCTCCTGCGCGTTCTGCAGTATGAGGCGCGTGTCCTCGATCGCCTGCTCCTCGCTGCGGCGCAGCTGCTTGAACGGGGCTATGAGGCGGTAGCGCGAGTTGAACGCCTTGAAGCGCATGCGGTGCGGATAGCCTAGCGGTGCGAGAAGCGAGAAATTAGAGCGGCATTATAGAGACTCGAGGATTTTAATTGGTTTATATTGTTGAACGATCGTTCGTCGTTATTGGATGGGGTAGTGCTGAAATCGTGACGGACTTCGAAATTATAGTAACTAGCTCTTTCTCGGCGTGGTTCGGACGCGATCGAATCATTCTCTATAGTTCTTGATTTCGAAAATTTTTCAATAAAATATTATTCGTATACAAAAATAATTAATTGTTCATTTGAAAGATAAATTGTGTAAATTTTTTCAATGGTACATAATGACTCGATATTGCTTTGTTTACATTGTGTGTGCCGATAATTTAACAGCAAGATTTGTGTAAATATTATGGAATGAGTTTTCAATTAGTTTGATATTATTACGGAAACATTATTCGCCAAGGAACTTTTACCAAAGTAAGATGGAATCGAGTAGTTTCTTCAACTGTCCTGTTAGGTAAATTTTATTTTGTAAAAATTGTACGAGGAAATTCTCATAGAAAAATAATTAATCTTACTAAATCTATTTTAGAGTAAAAGACGAACCTCGTGATGAGCTTCTCAATGATAATGATTATAAAATAATTGACACGACACCCGTCACTCAAAATATTAAATACGAAAGGTTTTGGCAAGAAAATTCAGTAAGTGTTGATAATCATTTTCGACTATCATTAATGAAACTTTCTTAATAATTTTAATTTTTTCAGACCCAAGAGCTTCAAGAACATGACGAAAATCATGAAAATGAACTTGACGACCTGGAAATCGAAATGGAATGTACAGACATGAAGCCAAATTTATTGGCGGTTGCGAAAATTGAAGATTATTCTCCAAATCAATTGCCGAATAGTGATGTGTATAAAACTGGAAGCAAAATTAAATTAGAAAGTGTCGACACAGTGAAGAAAGAATTTTTTAGTGAAGAAGAAACTGATTTTAATTTCGGACGTGCACTCAGCGAGCAAAATAAACAAGAAACTGTTTCAAAAGAGCTAAATTATAGACATAGGCTCAAAACTCACATTGATACTACGCAATATAAAATCACACAAGATTGTGATATTTGCGGAAAATCATTCAGATATAAGAGTTATCTTCAAAGACACATCGATTCAGTACATCGTAAAATCACGCATCCATGCGACAGATGCCAAAAGACATTCTCAAAGAATAGTACTCTCAAAAATCACATAGAGTCGGTGCATCATAAAATAAGGCATGCATGTTATAAATGCCGAAAGACATTCTCAGACAAGAATTATCTCAAAAAGCACATTGATTCGGAGCATAATGGTGTCCCTAATGCGTGTGACATTTGTGGGAAGACATTCTCACAAAAAAGTAATCTCAAAACTCACATCAAATCGATACATCATAAAATTACGCATCCATGTGATGAATGCCAAAAGACATTTTCAGACAAGGGTTATCTCAGAAAGCACATCGAGTCGGTGCATAATGGTGTCGGATATGAATGCGATGTTTGCGGAAAGAATTTCACAAGTAAATGTCGGCTCAAAGTCCACATCGACGTAGTGCACAATGGAATCGGCTTCGCGTGTGATGTGTGCACAAAGAAATTTACTGCGAAAAGTAGTCTTAAAGCCCATATCGATGCGGAGCACAATGGAATCACCCACTCATGTGATTCATGTGAAAAAAAATTTAAATATAAAACTCATCTCAAAAAGCATGTGAAATCGTCGCATAATGTTATAACCCATTCATGCGGGACATGCCGAAAGACATTCAGACAAAAAAGAAATCTTAAAGCTCACATCGACGTGGCGCATAATTCGCGCATCAAAACCTAACATATATATTAAATTTATGTTCAATGATGACTCACTGATGTACTATTTAGTGTACTGTCAAACAAGACTAATTTAATAATTTTTATTAATTACGATATTTTGTTTTCTTCGTCTATTATGTTATCTTGGTCTGCAAAAACAATGACAAGTTTGAAAAAAATAAATTTCTTTTTTCCCGAAAAAACAGTACTGCTTATTTTGAATGGATTTAAACATTACGTTCATACAAATTGTAGAGTGACTATTTTAAGGATTACTATTGCTTGTTTATTAGAGGATATTACATGAGTATATTAAATTCGTAACTTACTTAGTAAATACATTTTGCAAGCTTACAAATTTGCATTGACCTAAACAATATTGCTTTTGATCTGTTTTTTAATTATTTAGGCGGGCAAAATGATAGGCATCATGGATTTATAATCATTGCTCTTTTATTATATGACAAAATTGACTCCAAATTATCACTCAGTCCGAAATGATGCTATAACATTAGCTTCTAGTCATATTACATGCTTTGAAACCGACGAAAAATTTGCCCCAAGTTATCTTCTGTTCCATTAATTTATAAAAAATTCGTTTCTAATTTTGACTTGCTCCAAAATCTTGCTATAAAATGAGATGATTAATCGTTCACGTCCATATAACTTTGAAAGATACGGTTCTAACAGGGAAATAGGACCTGATTCAGAACTTCAAAAATATTCCTATCTTAAACCATTGGTCCAGACATCAAGTCAATTACCTATCGACCACTTTTCTACACCATCTGTCAAGTACAGTTGACCTTTGCCAGTTCTAAACAAATTTAATTAGAGTATATTGCGCACCTATACCTACATAGTGATGATTAATTGACAATATCCACCTCGACGAAATCCGTAAAATTTCTCGCAGGAAAAACCAGCCCACCCATAATAGCAATATGCACAAAAGACCAAGAGATCAAGATTTAAACAATCAGTTATTGAAGGGTTATTATATCCTGGCGTTTTTTTCTTTCTTATGAGTGTTGACCTCGAGGTTTTGTACTTAAATAAAATAAAAATTTTTCCTAGCTTTAATTATTAAAAATAACACTTAAGCTAACACAAAAATTATGTTTCAAGAGCATAAATCTAATAATTACCATTAATTTATAAATTCTGTTAGCTTCACAGAAAGACAAAAATTTAGTCAAAGTCAAGGGCTAAAAATAGCTGTAAGAAGTTTTTGAATATTCTTTTCATCTTTTATATAATGTATAATAATAGAGTGTGTTTAAATAAATATTTTTTTCAAAAAACAGAGCCACGATTCATTTGCGATCAACGAATATGAAAGAAAAGTTGACTTTTTCGAGCAATACTTTCCGACTTCGTGGTTTGATTAACTCTCGTTGCAGTTCGAGCGCAATAGAATAATTCTCTATAGTTTTTATCTTAACATTTTTTGAATAAAACATCATTCATGGAAAAATAATTATCGTTTATTTGATAGATGAATAACGTAATTTTTTTTCTATGATAACATTATTGAATTTATTATTGAATGACATGGTATTGCTCTGTTTACATCGGTGTGTCGAGGATTTAATATCATGATTTACGTAAATATTATGGAATGAGTTTCAAATTAGTTTGATATTATTACGAAAATATCATTTGTCAACGAACGTTTAATAAAGTAAGATGGCATCGAGTAGTTTCTTCAACTGGACCGTTAGGTAATTTTTGTTTTATGAGAATTGAAAATAGTAAAATGTTTAAATATGATTTTATAATATCACATTTATTTCAGAGTGAAAGAAGAATCTTGTGACGAGTTGCTTGATGAAAATTATTATGAATTAATTAACAAGACGCCCGATGTTAAGAGTATTCGAATCTCCAGAGAATATTCCGTAAGAATGTGCGATATACGTAGAAAACATTTTCTGAAATAACTTTCTCATAACTTGCTATTTTATTATAGGCGCATCGAAACTGTGATAAAAATGACGCAAATAAAGTTGAGGAACTGCAAATCGAAATGGAATGTACAGACATGAAGCCCAATTTATTGGCGGTTGCGAAAATTGAAGATTATTCTCCAAATCAATGGCCGAATAGTGATGAGTATGAAACTGGAAGCAAAATTAAATTAGAAACTGTCGGGACAGTGAAGAAAGAGATGTTGAACGAAGAAGTATTTGTTACTGCGCATTAGGGCGGAACGAAAAAACACTTTTGACGCCGATCGCTTCGTAATAGTATTTTATCGAAAGTTTAAGATAAAAAAAGAGAAAAGCCGCGAGCTGCCCGCGTAAAAAAAATTCACGTTTCGCGAAACTTTTGCGAAACTTAAAATCCGCAAGTTGATCTAAACTTCATATGAACTTTGGGCCATGAGACTCGCCAAACTTTGATTTCGGTGACTTCAAGTAGTGCAAGTTTGGCGAAACTTTCGCGATAGTTTCGCGAAAGTTTAATTTTCATTTCAAGCATTAATAAATAATAAAAAAAATTATTCGTTTCTTAGCTTCCAGTGTAGGCTTAATGAAGAATTAGATGATCGATTAAAACTTCGCAGGCATTTAAAAGATTTTTTTGGGAGAGTCCGCGGGTAGGATTTGAACCTGGGTCCTTGAGAGTGGGAGTCGTGAACGGTACCAATTGAGCCATGTGCGTAATTTACATAGGACCAAAAAATAAGATATTTATGAAAAAGTTATTATTAAAGCTGAAAACCAATAAAAAGCCAAATCAGACATTCATTAATTGTAATTTATAGTAATTTTTTAGTTTTTTATAAATATTTACGATTTTTCATATAAACAATTTTTGTTCGGGACATGCTACACTACTCAACAAAAGTATTGAAAAAAAAGTTTCATCAAAATGTTGTCAATTTTCAAATGCTTCTATCTATCTTTGTCTATATTCATCGTATCGAGACGAACTTTTTTTTGATTTCTTGGAAAAAAGTTCCAAGTTACAAAAAGCAAAGTTTAGCGAGTTGTATGAACGAAAGTTCGTACGAAGTGTATATTAACTGTGCGGAATGCAGAAATTTACGCAAAATGTACATTAAGTTTCGCGAAACTTTTGCTATCAATG